TGAAATTTAAACCTTTGTAATGCAACTTCTAATACATGTATAATTCACGAAATCAAATGGTGTCATTTAAGCAAGGTCTCCAGGTTACGAATTACCACCGGTTCTCTCCATTTTCTGGCTCATTTCTCTTTCTCATCACTTCGAGGAGCGACACTGTCGCCGTGGTTTGCGTCACCAGGGACCAAATCAGCGATCGCTTCTCGGCCGTATCGGCAGTGTATGCCCACGGGGCCACGGTACCCGCGCCGGGGGCTCGACGATCGCGATCCCGGTCCACGCGCACGCTTTCACTACTCCCTGCCGGCTTTTCCAATTCGTTGCATGCAATCGGGCCGAGGGATGGGACAAAAATGTGCGTTATTATCGGAAAACAATGCTGCCTGATTGTGGCGCTACCTATTTCAAAGAGCGTTGTAATGATGCCCCTTGGGTAAAATTATGGCAGACGCGCAAGGTTAATCCCGTGAGCCAGAACATAATGCACGCTAATGTTGAAAAACTTCAACCCCCCCCCCGCTTAAAAACAGAGGAGGTAGTATTGTATGAGAAAAAATGTCTGATGTCCACGTCTATAGTAGGGCTTATTTTTCATGGTGTGTTTAAGGCATGATTGCTATGAACGTCGTGATTAGTTTTGTTGGCGACGGTTACTCGCCGAGATCCGGAAATATCGCGCACGCGCAAAGCCGTATATTGGAGAAAGCTCTTGAGAGTATAACCTCGATTCAGACGCAACGAAGTCAGGCCGAAACTACACGGCCAATTTCTGGTCGAACGTGCGAGCAAAATGGTTACAAAACTATCAGAATGACAAACATAGAAAAAAAAAACCTCGATCGATCAATTTCCGAACTAAGCTCTAAGAATGAAAAAAAAAGCTTAGGCCCTACATTCCGACTTTTGACGACCTGAATGTCTATCGATCATGTCAATAATTTTCCAAATGAATGAAAACTATTCAATTCAACTAATTCCCTAGACAGAAAACGCCGAGCTCGAATTTGATTCAGCGTACTTTTCTGACGGACCAACAGCATCAAACTGACCGTCACTCATGGATCGTAATTATCACCTTGTAATGCCGATCACTGACGGCCTCGTACCGTATAAGCGCACTGGACCGACTCCACTCGAAAGCCCGGTTTTCAATTGAGCGAGAAAACCGGATTTCACGCCCCGGGCAAGGCGAAAGACATCATCTCGCGACAGTCCATCCAGCACGACCCTTTAAAAAAAAGAGCCGACGAGACAACTGCTGCGGCGAGTAAGGACAAGTGACATTTGTCTACAGAATTCGCTTTATTTCCAGGGATCGGAATATAAACACATTTTTTTCACAATTTAGAGCTATCGCATACGATGAAAGCCATGCTCGGTAATGTGACAATTGGCTGATCCACAAAGCCACTCACAGGAAAATGGTGTTCACCGTTGACGAATATGCATAGCCATTGCAAAACAGATGATCTTCACCATGTCTTTTTCTCCACGTATCTTACAACCGCTTCAAAAACACCTGCTTTTTATAGATGTCATAATTTTATACCATTGTTCAAGAGATAGCAAAGCCAGTCAGAACAGAAATGTTTCCATGTACAGTAACAGGACGAAGGTTGTCACGCGTCAAGAGCTGCGAGAGATCCGCTACACTAAAAAAAAAAATAAACAAAAAAATAACACAAGGTAAGATTCCACAGAGAAAAGAAAGCGGTTTGTCACGTGCGTGGTGCAACGTACGAAATAATATAGGCAATTTCATCATTAGTCGGGAAACTTGAAGTAATGATGCAGTTGCAATGTGCAGTCGCGCATTTGCAAGTTGTCATTTGGAAAGGTGTTCGGCCTCTTCGGTTAATTTCACGATTGTCTTCCCGATTCGACCGTCTACGGGAGGAATTTTGAGGAAGAATTTGGCGGGACGAGACGAAAGAAGACGAGACAGGGCAACTTCTTCCGGCCTCGTCGACACAACAAACGATGATTGATTACAAGATGGCAGCATGGGTGAAGCAGTTATTAGGTCAACTCTTCAACTCGGGGCGTCTCGCCCTGGAATTTCGGGCTAGAGGGGAGACCAGAAAAAAAACCGGAGGAACGGATTTCAAACGGTAAAAATGGTGGTAGACATGGACAACCATTTTGGAGGAAGGGTTTACAAAGGCTTTTTAATAAAATGAAGTTAGAAAACGAGTAAAATGGAAGAGCGACATGAAGCCAAAAGGCATCATGACAACGGTCGAGAATAAATCTATCCACACCTACACTCATCAGCGGATCTGGGGGGGGGGCATGACCTGGAACACTTTTGAAAATGATTGAAATTGACTATTTTTGGACTGTTTCATTTTTATTCCTGTAGTCCCGTCCACCTCCAATGGCCCTGATGAGTTACCGGTACATGTAGAATTTCCACATTTTTTGGCGCCCGAAAAGAGAATTTCAGCCCATGAAATTGTGCCGTTGGATCTGACCTTGTCAAAAAGATGAGGCAGATAAAAACATAACCGAGACTGATGACATCGAAAAAACCTGGCAGAGAGGGGGCACAGACAGACAGACACTAAAACTGACGACAGTCTTCCTCTGTCGAAAAGTAAATACAGAAATTCCCAGCATGGATTTGCGCACCGGAGAGGCCTGTACATAAATATGGATGTCCTTTCTAGAACCTACTCACAAATGACGTCATGGTCTATGTTCTTAAACTATATACATATATTAGTTTACCAAGCCGTATTGCCCTTTTCTCTCGAGGGAGTGACCTGTCTTCATTTCTGGGACCGATTCTTTCAGAAAGTTGTTCGAACTTTTAACTGCACTTTCATTTCCATCGAAACAAGACAGTTTTACACAGCCAAATGTCTGCCGACATCTGTAAGCAGAACTGTTGATCACGAATCGGCATCGACATTTTCTGGGTAGGCCTACAGGAGCGAGAGACTTCTGGGCACGATTCAAACTAGATCAGAAACTCAAATGTAGGTACAGGCACACTGACACCAATGATTGACTGGAGACATCAATTATTCTGGATTAGAGAATCCGAAGCTAATCTGCTACTGTTTGCATTTGTTTACATTTTCAAAACTCTCTCCTGTTATAGCAACAGTATCACAACTGATTAGTTGCGGATGCTTCCCTGCAGAGCCGAGCCAACTGGGTCTCGGACTGGCGTAATTACGCTAAAGCTGCCGGGCGTGAGCCCGGTGCGAGATAGTTGAGGACTTCTCATAGAGATTCTGCGATTGTGCGTTGACACACACACACACAAAATCTGTTGCTCTAATTATAGGCGTTTAACAAAACCCGAGGATCGGACAGCATCTGGTGTGGGACAATTCGAGGCGGGATGAAGGGCAAACGCAGGGGAGGGGTGGACGCGTCGACGGGGTGGATTATCCGGGTGACATCTCCACACGCACTACCGCTCGTATCATCGTCGTCTTCGTTATCATCCAAACCTTCTCCCACGCGGACTTCCTCTAACCGTTGTTTCCCGGCCGGCTGCGCGCTGCCTAATTAGTCGGCAATCATCTGCCAGTCCTTCCGGTTGACGGGCACCGGGGACTGCCGGATGTCGACTACGGGGAGGAGGGCCCTGGGCCTGGCAACGTCAGGCTTTGCTCCGCGGCGTCCAGGGATTTATGACTTCTTTTGTCAACTGACGTTGGCGGACGTTTCCCAACTCATTAATGCTAGATATTGGAAAAAATCCCGAAAATACTTTCCGTGGGAGTTGCCTTCAGGTCTACTCCCATTTGATGACCTCAGCAAATAAAATCCCCACCACACTCATGCTCAATTTTTGAAGCCCAAGTTTCCATTCTCAAAGTGTAACTCAAAACACAAAAAGGGGAATCCCCTGAAAATTCCTTTAATGCAAATCATTTTCAGATACATTGCCTGTACCTCGTAATAAATTGCAATTCTAGGGTGGACGGAAGCGTTATCCACCAACAGATAACGAAGAGGCATTTTCCATTTTCATCTTATTGAGGAATGAATAAATTAGAATATATCTTAAAGATTCAGCTGATAACACAGAGTTAGAGATGACAATGATTTATGGGCTAAAACTTGCTTCCTGCTCAAAGCAGGATGCTGCCTTACGAAGTAATGCACTGCTGGCCCCGCGGCAGAATTTTCAGTGTCAGTTGTTTTGTCGATGCAAGTGACAAGCACATCTCCTCATGTTACATGTCACTCTCGCCAGTCAGTTAATTACATGAAGTACAAGTAAGAGAAAAAAACGAGGGGGATAACATCAGAATGAACAAATGTCAATGTATTAGACAGGGACCTTTGATCAAATGTTATCAGTCACTGCCATCCCGAGTTGAAAAGAAGGTTAAGCGAAGGGATTTCTGAAAAGCGACAGCTAATGTGCCGAGAACGCGAGCTTTGAAGTAATTTGATCTGCATAGGAAACAAATCAGGCCTGGGAAATGGAGGACTAGGCCAAAGGGTTTGGCAATTGGTCTTACCATTTTTTGATTGCAACTCTGATCGACGAGTCGATTGCCGCTGTGATTGAAATGGTTCAATTTTGTTCCCTTTGAGACATCAAGATGAAGAAAAGAACAAGGGACGCGGCCCTCACAGCCCAGTTGAATTTTTCTTTGGCAACATGCAATGCGCATCATCAACCCTGCATGTGGGCCACTTTGCCAACGGAAGGCCAACACGCCTCTTACCATTGCTGCCTGTCGCCTGCAAATGGCCGAGAGTCAGTGACATGTAGTACGCATCCTCACGCGAAATGACGCGCCGAGAAAGTTTGCACGTGGCACCCCCTGCTCGTCTAAACCCGAACAAGCCAGCCGAAATGAGCCAGCTTGGTGGTTGAGCAGTACAGAGACCTGCACTTGCGAGCAGGAGGGTTCGAATCCCTCTCGAGCAAACTTGTGGATTTTTTTAGCAAGCCCCTGACAATACCCAGTATATGTTACCAGAGTTTAAACTAAACTTCAGTAATGGTAAATATAAACTATAAATTCATGTTTAATGATAGGATTTGTAATGTTTATTTAGAAAAGCGACCCACGCGCCAGCATATTTCCTTGCCACTGACAATTTGATTACAATAGGCTAGACTCCGTTCGAGGGCATCATGAAAGAAGGCTGTAACCTTGGTTACATCGCATGTGCGTCATCAGTGAAGCATTTAAATGCAAACCAAATCAACTCACTACATCCATATGTGTTCTTCATTAGTACCAACACCACTAAAAAAAGGTTCTTGACACTAATTTGAATCTAGTATAACTACAGAACCAAAAGCCAGAGAGGGCATTTAGTTTTTTTTTTAGTATTGAAGCCATATTCCTCTTAATGAGTTGGTTTCCCTCTTTCAGTTTCGTAATTGCTCCATCCTCATAATGGGACGGGGGGATGCACAAATGAGGGAAGATCTTGATGTAGCATCGGACGGCTTGACGGACTCCTCTGGCTGACTTCAGGACCACGCTTCGATTTGAAATCGGCGGCTCTGCTCCAAACTTTTGATGTAGTCGTCGGCGGCCGCGACCGTCATGCCTCCCTCCTCCTGAATCACCTTCTTGAGGGTGTCAGTGACATTGGTGGGCATCTGTTTGGCGTTGCTGCAGCCAGCAAACACACAACAAGCAAAGGTCATTCTCAAGCGACTCTTCCGTAACGGGTCATATTAGACTAATTCGACGAGCAGAATGAGAAGCCATTAGTGTGGGGGGCAGCACGCTCTTGGGACAGGTGGTACGCCAACGCATTACACGCCTCTTTCACCAATAGGGCGTTGTGAAGTTTATGAGCACGTGTGTGAGTGCGGTACCAACGCAGCAATGGCGTCTCCTCCGATTTAGTTGATCGGGAAAAAGACGAAGAGCACCTTTGCATATTCAGCAAGTGCTATAAACCTTACATCAACTGCAGGGTTAACACAGCCTACTGCATGTAGTGGCCAAAGAAACCTCCCCTCAAATATCCCAAATACGCCACTATGCCAATCGAAATTTGAAGTTACCAAAATGCAATACCAAAATGCAATACCAATCTCAGTAACTCACACAGCAGTGTGATCAGTATTTTGGCATGGATTTTACTTGGCCTGGCTGATTCAATTCAGATCAGGCAAACTGATCATGAACGGCAAAAAGTTTGACCCGACTGATGGCAAGTGGAACATTAATCTTCAGCTTTATCTAGGGCCCCAGAACCAGTCGTCCACATTCAAACTTCAAAATCACATGGAACGACTGTACCCAGGCTGGAGGGGAGTCTACAAACGCAGAGACCTAAAAGTCAGGAATCTGGACCCCTCAGCCAAAGCTGCAGATAAAACCCAGGTTTTTGGGACACGGCCAATCCCTCACCCAGCAATGAAGAAGCTTCCTTGCCTCCTGTCAATCATCTCCCACAAGAGGGCGCTGTTTTGAGCCATGAGATGCTGGACGTAGATCTTATCCTCCTGTTGTAAAAAATAAACGAAAAGTGGTGATTTTTTTTTCAAAATTATGATAATAATGTCTTTGAAGGGGGAGGGGCCTTTCTGGAAATAAAATGGATTGACAGAATATCATTCTTCCCAATTTGCATCCTACATATCCAGACTTACGTGGTCCCTGGAAAAAGCTGTGAAAACTTGCAACAGTTTGTTGGCCACAAGAGGGCGCCATTCGTGATTACAGAGATAATCCTTGTCCTTGTTGCGGCAGCCAAAAAACAGAACATTATCTGGAAAATTGAAAAACACAAGAAAATGTTTAAAACATGGAAAAAGTGAAAATGTTAAAAAGAAATTTGCGAATGTTAATTAACCATGGAGCTTGTCACGGTTCACTCAGGTGACACGACGGTTTTTATATGTTGGTCCAAATATTATCTGTGGAAAAGGATAGGGTTTTGGTGACACTTTCAAATACTTTTACCTGCAGTGAACATGGGTGCCACCAGGGTTTTTTTTGGGGGGGAACCATTTTTTTACTAAGGAAAAAATTTCCAAGTACTCATATCAGCAACAAACTGAAAAACTGCTAGCAGTTAGGGAAGCAATTTTGAGATCGTTCAAGCAAAAACTGATTTTCATTCCCTTGTTTTTTTTTCTGGCGGAAAGTCCCCTTCGCCCCCCCCCCCGACAACACCCATGGCAGTTGAAGCTTGACTGCAACGTCATAAGCGGTACCCCTGAATTAATGAAGCGATTAGGGTGGGTGGAAAACTCATCCCCCCAGCCTCGCTGAATCAAGGACTAAACTGAAGCAGGTTTGTACCACTTACCACCAATGCCCTGTGCGGCCCTGTCCTGTAGGTAGCTCCTGAAGGGTGCTAAGCCCGTTCCGGGCCCCACCATGACCACTGGGGTCTTGACCCCGTCTTTTGGGAAGGATATGGTGCCCCTTTTCACCCAAATTGGTATTTCAATCTTCTCTGGACGGACAACCAAACCAAAAAATGCCATTTTATAGTCATGGGCTGCTTGGAAAAGTGCAAGGTCAACTCAACTCAAGGTCAACGGCTATTTTCTGTATTGATTTCTTCCTCTTAGCATATGAATCAAAAGATGAACAAATAATGACAGATAATTGGGGCATTATAATTAAGAATTCCTAAAATCAAATGAATCTATTTGTCAAATGAAAAGTGGCCTTGGGCACACTATTTTTAAAAGTTACCATAACAACAAGAGTGCAGGTCTGACTGTCCTCACCAATCATTAATAAGATCAACAATTTTCCTCATTTTTTCATGTGGCGAAGAATCAAAGAAGAACGACTAATTTGTCATGTGGTATCTGACTTTCAGCATTGACAAGGCATGTCTCGCTATGAATATTAAAAGAGACTGCCTTGGCTGGTGAGGTAATACCTTCCTCGGGGGACAATCTGGCTAGCCAGTTGGAGCATAGACCTTCCCGCGGCTTGAAGAGTTTGGTCTTGTACTTGACGACGGCGAGCAAGACGTGTATTTCGTTGGGATGAGCCTAGGGCCGGGATGGATTGGATCGGAACATATTGTTAACCCTAATGTCCTTGGGTGTGTGTAAAATCACTGTAAAATCACATTAAAACCAAAAGATTTATTCTTGTTAGAGTGAAACACCTGCACCAATATGGTTACTAATCCCTGGCCCTCAGGGTAAAAGCAAAAATGTGCTGAAGTAACGTTAATGTGCAGCAATTTTATCCCATGGGTGGTTCTAAAAGGTTTCACAATCTGAAAGGAAATCTTCACGCTGGTAAGCCAAAGTGTCTGTTAAAAGTGAAAGGACAGAGTTGATTGCATTCGAGAGGTTCGAAAATTATCTTCAGTCACCAGTCTGCTTCGAGAGCAAATTTCGGTGAACTCAGGGCGGACCTACCTTACTGCCAGAATCGTTTTTTTTGGGGGGGGGGGGAGAATTAAAAGCAAGGAGACGGGTTACCTTGAGCGACGACGCAATGGAGAAGGCCCTGGGCTGGATTTGCGGGACAAGGTCAAGCAGGTACGTGAACGGGACCCTGGAACTGACTTTAGGGAAGTCCTGAAAGATTTCTAGCGTTGTGCGCCGGGGACGATTGCAGTATGAAAGGAGTTCTTGCTATTTTGGAAAAAAAAAAAGGAAGAAGTCAGACGATGAAACCTCATGGGTAGTAAACTCATCCATCTGTAACTGGGGCTAGTGTAAAGGCTTTAAGGCCATTCACAGGTTAAAAGTTAAGAATAACGAGATGAGCAAATAATTGAGTACGTTTGATCTAGCCTTGGTTAGTTGGTCTGCACGTTGGGATGTTTGTCTGTTTCACCTCACCTGCCCTTCAGCCGAGGCAAACTCCTTCAGTTTTTCTTGCTCCAGCTCGTCGTCTGCGAAGTGGGCGAGCAGCTCAAAGAAGTACCTCCTAGGGATGCAGCTGATGTCCAGGCAGTGAGTGACCAACTGCCTGATGGTGCCAGGCTGGGGGAGGAGCCAGGGAGGTGGGAGGGGGATATCTGTACGAAAATAACACAGAGGCACGCTGAACTGAAATAAATAGCACAATAATCATACTTAATACAGCACAACATCGCTGTACTGAACAACTGGATATACATCAAACTTTCCTCTTGGCTCCCAAATAAAACGACTCAAAAAAGTCAAGGAGCACTTTTTTCTTAAGTTGTTTTTTTTTCGAGCAATGAGTGGGGTCTAGTTCTTTGCAGGGTTGTACTGTAGTGTCCGTTTTCCCAGGACCTACAGGATGTAAGTGGACCTACCATCAGAAGTGTCCCTGACTATAAAACCTCTCCCATTTTTTCGTTAGTTTTGGAGGTTGATAACCTACTACTGACCACTTCCTACTGGGGATTCCGGATCCGGACACGTATGCTTTATATGCATGATTGGGGTCTCCGAACTTGGACAAAGGAACGGGGCCTTGTAACAAAAGACTGTACTCCGAACAAAAGACCAGGCTGCTGGGCATTACCGACATTTTTCAATCTCAAAAGTGGAGATAATCTAGCCTTGTTTTGAAACAGTATACCACGGTTTGGGGCATTGAGAGCAAGCGGATTACCACCGGGGACAAAAGCGCTCCACCACCGCAGCGATGAGCCACACAGCACCACTGCATGCTAATCTGGCCCCTATTGAAAAGAGGTCAGCAGCACAAAAGTTTAGAGTGTGTACAGGGATTGGACGTGGAGGATACCCATCGGCCCCATACCGTGCACGGCATCCAGAACAAAGTTCAAACTTCACAGGCACGAAAATGGCCCTGTAACTGCAGCCATATACAGCCTCAAACATACTGAACCATAGAGCTGCTATGATGTCAGGTGTTTTTATCCCGAATGACCCCACCTCTCTGTGATAATGAAATACACAGCTTATACAACTTATTCCCCCCTCCCCCACCCCTATCCCCCGCAAAAATGGGGGTGGGGAAGACGCCGATTTTGCCACCGTGACGTTGTCTCACCTGGATCGGTTGGCTTTAGCAGGATCTTCTGATCAGGGTTCAGACCAAAATGGGAGAGGAATTCGCTGACATTTTCTGCCGAGTTCTGGGGCTGGATCATTACCACATCCCCTGGAACATAGCTGCAAAGTGTATGTAAATAAACCAAACAAAAAAGTTGGAATGAGACGGGAATTTCATGGTCTCTTGAACCAGATTATCATCATTTTACAAACTTTCATAAAGGTGTCTGAGAAATATACAAAATACAGTATCAGCAACAATTAAAAGCCTTTAATGGAGCAAGTCAGATATCATCCATATGTCCATCACTTTCAAAAGCACACAAAGTATACTCTTTTCTCTTGAAATCTCCCCCGAGCAAGTCTCAATAGAGTAACCAAGAAACTGGATCTCAATCCCTAGCTCTTCACAATTAAAGAAAGTGTCCTTTTTTACGAGCAAATGTTCAGTCTGCTCGTGCAAATGATAAAAAAATATGGATGACCCTTTAATAGCACAGTAAATGAGAGCGCCTGCCTTATATTTGATCCCTGAATGTCTAATCTGACGAGCCTGACATCCTGGAAGTGATCCGGAGACGTTAGTCTCTCGTTGGATAAGAGCCTGGCGTGGAATGGGCAACTCTTCGACGGGACAGGGCCATCAACCAGGCCGTTAATACTGGCAACGGAGGAGGTCATTGGACTGCTGCTGTTGGCGTCTAAAAATTCCACGTCGTATCGCGACGGTGGGCTGCGGGGACCAAACGAAAACTGGTGAAGGAAAATTCTGGCACTGGGACTTTGTTAGGAGTCTAAAAGTTTATCGGTCACTTCTGTTTCAAGAAACATGACATACATCTCTTCATGCGTGCTTTGAAGGTTTGCACGATGGAGGTGGTAACAAGCTTTATGGCAGCACGGTGCAACTTCCTCCCTCTTGAGCGTGCATTTTGGACAGGATGCTCCGCCTATTGTCGGGAGAATGCGGAGAAGCCCGCTTGGAGGTGGGTTCGAACACATGTAGGTGAAAAAACTGGGTTTTTTGTGGAATTTTTTAGGGGGGGAGGTCACCAGGGTCGAGTACTCACCACACAGCAGCACTGATTATGTCTACGCCCGGGGGCAAAGGGTATAAATACAACACTCTGTCCCACAAAGACGCCAACCACGGGTCCACAACCGCATCCGGCCTGTTGAAAATAAATAAATAAAAGAAAAAAAAAAATTTGTAACACTTGTAGGCATTGGTTTTTCTCAGTCTCTTATTTGAATCTGAACACTGCAAGAGCCTAAACACAAAACCCTACAATTTTGAAGAATCTTGAAGAATTGCAGAAGGTACAAGAGGCCATAGACTGAATTTCGCGGGGAGCTTTGAGATGATATTTGAAAAGCAAAGAAAAAAGAACGCCTGTGGTATCCTGCAGATTGGAGGATTTTAGAAGATTCAGACAAGGTTCCTCACAACAATGCCAAGGGAGGAATTATCTGCTCGGAGCAGGAACAAAAGAGGGCGCGTTTTTAAATGAAAATTGGCAGTCCTTTGGTACGAACTCACTGCACGGGCGTGCAAGTTTGGCGCGGGGCATGCCGAGTACGTGTAACAAATTTATGCTGAAGTATGTGGTGTTCCCGTGCAAGCTAGACGTGTGCAACAACCTGGTTGGAAAAATTCGTACCAATCTGTCTTTCTTTCGCCAGCGAGGGTACACCTCAACTCAGTGTGGACAGTGCAGTAACTGAAGCCAAGACTTACACAGGTCTTTACGTGCACATTGAAGGTTCATATCGTCTGCTATTAAACAGTGAACAACCGAACACAAGAAACACGTACAAATACTTGAAAACTGGGAGGCAGATGCAAGAAATCCTACGGTAAAAAGGAAGCTCACCCTAGATCATGCTGATCATCTGCCAGGCCAACTGGTACAAGACTTTTTCCGCCCAGCTGAAGAATACGCCTGTAAAGCTTCTTAGCAATGAAGTTGAACCTACATGGCGATGACAAGATAAGCAAAAAGCATTTATGTGATAAGCACAAATTCAGTCTGGGCTAGGAACTGCGATGTAGAAGTTGAACTTCGATTTCATTGTAGACAAGAAACACATCCAACCCAAACCGACAACATTAAAAAAAGGAAGAGAAACAAAGAAAAACAAATGGAAGCCAAAATTACATTAACAAGCGACATATCAACACAGTGCATGTATTGTGTTTTTCAAGTCAAAGCAAAGCTCAAATGGAAATAGACGGAAAACAAAACAAAAACAAACATGCTCACTTTTGGTAGGAGGAATCTCCGAGTCCAATCACTGCAAAATGTAAACCAGACAGTGAGTCGGTAGGGAGGTTTCTGCGACAAATAAACCTCCAGAATTTCTGAAAATGCAACAAGGAAAGCTCCACTTTCAGCTCAGACAAAGATTGGGCTTCGACCGAGTTTGTTCAACTTTTCAAAACAAAGAGATTGCGCTTCTGAGATGCACCTGCCTTTCCTGTCAATTTATAGCCAACATAATGACATTCCGAAAAAATATTCACAAAACACAAGAAAGCCATCCGTGGGACTACAGTTGGGACAAACAGAACTCTGTTTATAGAATTAAACGCAAACCTTCATGTTGTCTGGTTCGTCTCCTTGCCCTGTCGTTGCACAGACAAAAACGACCAGTGGCTCATTTATCAGTTGTCCCTGTGAAAAGGTGCAATCACGTTAACTATAATGTATGGTATACAACATGTGTGCTATGCATACATGTACATGTATTTATTGAAAGCACGTGTTAATACAACAATATTGTTTGAGACCAAAAGGGGCGACTGCTGTCATCTCAAAGAACAAATGTGACCCGCTCTGTGAAAATGAGTCACATGTCTTCAGAGCCACTGTGGAGTTAAAGGCCTTTGAAAGAATCCTGCACAGTGATTAAGCAATAGGAATCCTCAACATTTCAACATCCATTTTTCATTCTACAAAACTGACACAACAAAATAAAGAGCTTAAATTCGTCAATCCAATACAAAGTAAAACTCCGAAGTAGCTCTGGAGACTTGTGACTCTTTTTTAACTGAGCAGGTCAAAAATAATGGTGGGACAGCAAAAACAGATGAAACTAATAAAAGGAGTGAGATTACTAAAGATAATTCGACACAAGTTATCTTCAAATTATAGACAGCGATCACGTTACTATTAATTGGTCTCCTTCGCTCTTCCATTGCAATGATTCTTATTTATTTTCAGTCCCCTATCTGTTGCTTGCACGTTAAACTTTGTTCATCTGCCATTCAGAGCTGGGATGAGCGACCAATACACAATGTAAAAAAAAAATGCGTTAAGGCAGTGTAAGCCTAAATGTCCAAAGGAAAAAACCCTACATACAATAATCATCTCTAATTGATGCTTAGGCGATTTACAATTAAGTTTAAGATTCACATCACGAACCAATGTGATTTTCATGCTCACCCTGTTTTTTTTACATTTAATATATTTTCAACTTTTTTTTCTCTCTAAAAATTGCATATTGCAGACAATTTTCTCCTCACATCAAAAGGGAACGTTTGCCTTGAATAAACACAAACAGTGAAAAGTGCTTTGTGCATAGAGCTTAAAGCAAGCTACTGATGTATGATGCATGCCACAGCTGTCATGACTCCCAACTTCTTGTTATACGAATGCCATACGTCATTCTATAGTCAGATAGTCAGGCACCACAGGTTGATGTAACACAGAGTATATTGATACCACAACAATGCTCTAGCCATTGGGAACCATACAGTTCCATGTCAGATGCCGCAGCCCTCAATTCCCTTTGGTTGCAAAGAAGTCACATGTACCCATTATTACATTAGGCCTAACACCAACAGGAACACCCTGTATGCAGCTGCGAGCACTGCTGGCAAGGGGTCATAATATTTTGCGTCAACAAGTGTCAACGTGCGTCAACAAGTTATTCAAGCATATTTATGCAAAGATTTTTATCTAAAATGTTAATTAGGATCTTAAATATCAAATTCTACGTATTATATCGATCTGAAATGATATTTGAGTGTTGAAATTTGAGTGACAAAATTGGGCCTGTTTGTGCACTCCGACCGGCCGCCATCTTGTTTTCGCAGGGACGGTAAAGGGTGCAGACCACTAATTCAAGTGAGAATTTTTGACCAGCTCATTAGCATTAAAAGTACCCCCCCCCACAGTATCTTTTGAAAAAGGAGATTGCTTGGCCCCCAAAATGGTGAGATTGTGTGAATCGTTGCCAGGATCAACTCCCTGGGTCTTTGAGCTTTCATATGAGGGCAGAAGGGCTAAAAACTACGGTTGAAAAATGGTCCTAAGTCCCCCGAGAAAGTTGAGGGTTGCCACTTGAAAAATAACTGCAATCAGACTTCGGAAAAATCACTTTTGGGGGCTGATTTTGTTTTGTGGGAATAATTTAAAATGTAATTGGTTAACCCACAAAAAAGTGAAAAGAAATTGAAAGATATAAGTGATCAGACAAGGATTTCATTTGTGTTTCAGAAATCTCAGGGATGTTGGCGTGCATGCTATTGGGCCCTGAATGGTGCTGATTTTACACTTTTTTCAATGGGGCTTGAATTAGTGGACTGGACTCGGCAGAGGAAAGAAAGATGGCGGCCCCCATACATCGCGGAAAATTTTCGTTTTCCTGCGAGAATCAGAAAGCAAATTTGGTGTTTCTCCCATATTAAGTGTTACGTGTATAAGAAATTACTGATACCGCATGAGCATGAGGAGTAACATTACGGTACTAGTACTAGTAGTAGGCCTACTACATGTAGGTCGTAGATGGGTTTTATCCCGAAATAGATACAGCGACTTACAATGGAATAATCGTCCATCGCAAGAACCCGGGTTTTAAAATGCCTCCTCTTGGCTTCTCTGCCAATACGTTCAGCTACATCTTGCGCAGTGCCTGTCTGACTGCCATATAACACGACAGTCCGTCTATCCGCCATTTCTCAGCAGTATAAATTCGAAAATTTACTCCCACACAAACGCGATTTCCACCATTATGAGTATTTCCGAATCGCGAAATGATCTGGTATCTGGTTTCTGATACTTCTCTCCATGACAATGTTAAAGTCCTAGGACGGCACCTGACTATGCATATGTATAGTCAGGTGACATTTTAGTTGACCTTGTCCTAACCCTGTGAAGGGTATAGGTACAGGATTTCCGACCAGCTGCGGGTAATGTCACATGATTGTCATTGTCTTTTTGACATGATTTTGTCCGACCTGGAAGTGGGACTCGCGTGACGTGCCAAATTATATTTATAATCTTTACACATATCACGAGTTATTTTGCACTTTCCACACAAAGATTGCAACAAAGTTAGGACTCGTGTTGGAATCTGCCAGCCATGCCAATATGATGGAAGCCACGATGATGGAGCCATAAAAAAAGCTGAGAATCCATGCAGCTTTTTGAGCGACGACAGCTTTTTCAGGCGGCTAGAGGAGTGGTCTGTGTGTGGTCGATCGGTGGTGTAGTCATTTAAAGCCGTTTGGGTTTCCCATGTCGACAGCAGTTCGTGCGCAGGCCAATGAAAGTTCATCGTACATTGCAGGCCTGATATTGTGCATATCATATTTATTTCAGTTTTTTCGGCCAGCTTTCTGCAACAATCCGTTAGGCGTGGCTGTTGAAGCTGAGAAGCAAAATGATGAACGTAAGACTAATGTTAAATCTACGTGTGTATTTTCAAAACTTCCTAGACTGGGCCTAAATCATGGTAAAAAATTAAAGGAAAGGGGGGGGGTGTAGACCTAATGTTTGTAACTGTGTAGTTGCCAGGTTCCTAATTTTGCCACATGTACTGTGAAACCAATCAGATTTTACTGAGGGACTCGGCAACTATACTGGCACGGACGTACGTGAAACGTTGTCAATTGTCATGCTTGTGCGAAACGCCCCCAATCATCTGGTGGAGATTAGGGTTCAAATGGGAGACTGTCTTTTGGTGAAGTTCGTTTCATCATTTGCTGATTTTTCCTCTGTATTTTTCAGAAAACATTTCATTTCTCGGACAAAATCAAGGACTTCCTATTTTCTGGATGTCATATCGAGTCAGGGCCAGGTTTGTTATCTGTTAAAATTTATGTCAAAGATTTTTCACACATTAGGTGCTTTTCAGTCAAGTATGTTGAGGTTATTTTGTGTATTTCCCCATGATATTAGTTTCTCAAGTGCCCTCAACAAAAGTACTCTGAGTACATTTCCTTGCCATTTTTACTTATTTAAGTGAAACTATTTTTTTCTTATCTTCCCAACTTTCTGAAACTGGATTTGTTTTGTGGTCTCTCCTCAAATTCAGGGTGGTGGTGAAACAATGATCAGGTTGTTTAGGAGTAATCAAAGAAATGAGTCAAGAGGTGAATGAAAAAAAAAATCACAGTTTACATAATTTTTTTGGTTTTTGCTGATTTGTTACTCAGATTTGATAGCAGCCATGGGGGCAGTGTTCCTCGTCGCTGTTTTTCTGGAGCTCATGAAGCTTCTGAATGCAAAGCTGAAGCAGAGGCGATGTAAGAATCCCCTGGAGGTGGGGCAGAAATCGGCCCCCCGGCGAAACAGCTCCATCAACGGCCAGAGCAGCGGCCAACAGTCGCCCCTGCTGTCGTCGCTGCGAATCCCCAGCAGCGTGTCAAAGATCAGACAGAGAAGGTGATAGACACGCGCATAAAGAAAAGATGAGGGGCGGGGCTTTTCCAAAGAAGGAACAGTCTCACTTGTGCGCGGTCTTGCTCGTTCGCATCTGGCACGGAGGATGTGCCAGCAATTCTGCGTCTTCTCATGAGCGCCAGTAGAGTTTATTCATATTCCAAGCAGTATTTGTGTGGAGGTATTTAAGCAGAGTTAATTCTACAAAATACCTTGCTCAGGAACACAAAAGTAATCCTCCTCAGGAAGACTACCTGTGTGAAGGATCATACGCTTCCTCTCATGCCCTGAAAATAATGAGTGAACTGCTTTATTTGACACATTGTCGTTTTGCAGGTTGAAGTTCCATCTCATAGAAGCCGTCCTCCACATCTTCCAAGTGACCTTTGGATACATCCTAATGCTGGTGGTGATGACCTACAATGGCTTCCTCTTCATCACCGTCGTCGTGGCGCTGTGCGCTGGCTACTTCTTCCTGGCACCTCTGCAGAGGATGCGGGAGCCCTGGCGGGTGCCAGTGCGCCACGAGTCGCTCACCGACTCTGAGGGCAAGTCGTGCGGAGTCAGCTCCGGTAGTGTCGCGATAGTCGAATCGGCCGAGCACATACAGAGCTCCCGCTACGGAACTCTGTATCAGTGAGATGGCGGAGCGAGCCCCGTACAAGTTACATTAACTGCTGTGCTATACTTTCAATAATTAATAACCGCAGTATTATAAAAAGTAAAAAGATTCCGCCAGGGGCAACACCTCAAACTGAGGTATTGTCCAGTCACAGTGTACAGCAGTTTGATAAAAAAATTTTCTACAGTGGCCTTTTTTTTACGAAGTTGCATGTACTTTTTCCATGTATACACTCAGATTGATCTTGAGAAACCTTGTTACTTTTTTCTACGTTTCCTATGGTGTTTCAAAGCTATCTTAAAGTACATTGAGGTTTGTAGTTCCATTGAATTTCCATAACTTATTCTTTTAATGATCAAATTTCCACGTGCTGCTTTAAAATCGACCATCCTTGACACAAACACTAGTTGCAAAACTACCCAATTCAATACTGGACCCATTTGCAATTGGAAACAATATCTACGCTCAATACTCTCTCTGTCTATAAAGAGGAAAATGAAATCACAGAAACAAAAAAATAGGGCCTGTTGTCAAATCCCATGAATGCAAACGACAAGTCTGTCTGTCGTTTTCACTTCTGACGCAGTGAGGAACACGGTTTCACTTTTCTGTTACCTGTCTGGTTTGCATTTTAATACATGTTTATGCTAGCGGTGATTTTCTATTAATGCTTACAACTGAACAAAAGCTTTTGAATGTAGCAGGCCATTTTCTATAGTTTACGTTTGCAATAGAGACTTGTCTGCACCCAACAGTTTTGTAATGTTACATGTATATGTTAACCCAAGATGATTCTCATGGTGTGGAATATTATTTGCCTTAGTAATTATCATAACTGTAGCATGTTGCTCATGGGTAGATCTTGAGTGGAGCTCTGTTACTGGTGAATTTATTCTTAAGGTATGTGGTCTGGATTTGTCCAAATTCTCCCAAATACCACCGTGTCCCTTGCTGTCCTATCAAAGTGTGGAATTAGCACAGAAAACCTTAAGTGCTCTCTCTTGAAATTAACATCTATTTGTAAAACAAAAGAGTGCTGAGAATTTATAATGAGAATAACGTACAACGGTACATGTATTTGAGAAAATGCAGTCTGGCCATGTAAAGCAAGCAGCTGACCAAACTTAAAGCACAAGATCTTGGAAGGGATTATTTTCAGAGTTTTTAATTAATGCTTAGTTTTCAACATTGCGTGAGAAATCTTTGCACCAGAGACAGAAGAACGCATTTCAATATACGTGTACATTTACCGTTAGATTGTAGATTAATGAAGTTGTCACTAACTTTACAATTTATTTTAAAGGTTATAACAACTTCCTTATTTCAGGGTAAGGAAGAAGCTAAAAGATTGGCAAGCTAAGAATAGAAGGCTTCAACTCAGAGTAGTGTATACGTCTATTTACCAAGGTTTTTGTTATCGTCTTTATATTATTTTGTATCAAAAGTTGTAAGAGTGCACGTACAGACCAAATTCTGTTTCCAAAGTTTGCAGGAAGACGCAAAACAAGTGTCTTTGAAGAATTAACTGTGATACGTGTATTTATGTGAATGCAGATGTGTACATGTATGTCTCAATTTCACAATGTGGAGTTTACTTACTTCCTGGACATTGCAGATGAGGTTGGAGTTTAGTAAGTGTCAATTGGGTTGCTTGGAATACTAAATGAAATGAGAGCTTGAGCTGCAGGGCAAGTTGAGGAAATCTTCTAATTTCGGTTATCTTAAACTTTGAATTTTGATCGTTGCTCTACGTTTTGCCAAAGCTGATCTCTCCTTAAATGAAGTTGAAAATATTTCATTGTAAAGTTTTAATTAATCTGAAATTTAGGGATTGCCCGTGACTTTATTATTGATGTTGCATAGTGTTGAACTGTCATCTGTTACTATTTGCCACTGCAATTAAAACTAGTTCCTGCCACTGATTATGTACAGCATTTTTCTTCTAACAGGCAGCTGACCTGGTTTGAATTTATTGAGAAAGATGCCAGTATTAAAATAAACTGCTTGATAAAGTGGTGTAAACTCTTGTTGTATCTTGTAAATATTTTCATTATAAAGATGAACAAAGAAATTGACTGGGGTGGGATTTGAACCTGCATCCTCTGGAATACCGTACCAGTGTTCTACCAATTGAGCTACCCAGCCCTATGTTAGTACATCTTCCTATTTGTCAATATCTCTGTTTGGGGGGGGGGTTGAATATTTTCATTTCATTCGGAGTTTAATGTTGGGCATGGTTTTGGAACACTTGCAGGGGGCCTATTTGAGAAGTTCATGTATTGAACTCTACGGGGAGAGGATTTTTAGGAGTAAGTGGGAAATTTGGGCTCGTTTTGGCTATGGTTTGTTAACAGGTGTCCAACTTTCCACCCTTAAATTCAAATTGAAATACAACACAGTGCAAGGGCAAGCGATGGACCCTTTGCCCACTTCGTGTATCATGTCAGGCGGTAAGTGACCACGAGGACGCCGTGGTGATACATATGTAGGCTACTTGTAGAACTCAAAGTCAATACTCTGTGACATTTACCCGCCAAAGTTATCTGCGAAATTTCCACGTAGGAGCTCATTTTGTACAAGAACAATGAACAGTCCTACCTGTATGGCGCAAGTGGTGTACACTTTCTTCAAGCAGTCCGCCGTCAAGTGAACGTCACAAGTCAGCGCGGGTAAATTTAAAAGCACCCGTAGAGCTACTCGGCTCCATTCTCGTGACCCGCATCATCGTCAGTTCATATTGTATTGTTGCTTTTTTTCCGGGACATGATACTACTCAGTCTGTACGGTCCTTTCTGACGGCGGTCCACTCCAACCCCATGGTTACCACCAACGGATGCAGTCTTATATATATTTGTGGGCTTTGCTGACGACAGGAGGGACAAGTTTTTCTCCACATGTTCTTCACACCGTGCGTAGGACACTTGTGTACTAAGAATTGCCTGCCAATTGGTGGCGCTATAGCGCTATGCCAGCAATGCACGAGCTGCTGCTCGCCGGATGTAATTTACTGCTCAGTGATGCGATTTCGTTTCGTGTCCGTCCCCATCTCAGGCTTTTGTCTGTAAAATCGATCCCGAATCTAGACTTACAGTGTTCCAATTAGACAGAAAAAATTGAAGTTCTGTGGATATAGTTTGGTTTTCCGGTGGCACCGTCTGACTTAACCAACTTCAATGTCACGGTTTAAAAGAAAATCCCATTTTTTCTTATAAAGCTGGAAATCTGAGGAAGATCATTTTGCAAATTTATTGAAGTGAAAATGTTACGCCAGGAGCCTCCACCAACAGCCCATTTCCAGAGGATATTGTTGCCAACTTTGATTCGGTTTTACAAATCTCAGAAGTACGGCTTTTAAGGATTAAATCTGAAGTTGAAATGGCCACTCTCTCCCCCCTAGTACCCTAAACTTCGAGGCCCTTCAGGATTTTCCAAGACTCGTCTTTGTCTCTTTCTCGACGGGCTTCACCTGCTTTTTAAATTGTAACACTTCAAAATCTTCTAATTCCATACATGTAGGGGTGTCGGGGGCCGTCAAAGGCTGATCCCGTGCCAAAAGACCTATTGATCAGCGAGGCATGTCGAGTTATCAGCACTTTCGTCACGGACAGTGTCGTAACTGGGGGTCAATGCCGGGCATTTAGGGGACCCTTGTTTTATGGAAAGGGGCCACTCAATGGGTTTCTCACCAGATTTTTCCCTTCTTGAATATCTGAGCGGGGGGGGGGAGTCCCGGGGTAGGTAGGGGCGTTCCCCATGCTCCCTCATTCTCCCTCATTAATGCACAGGTCCACTGTATAATTATCCAAAAGGAGCCTGCGAGACTATACTACCCCAGAAGGAAATTGCGAACATATCAAACAAAAAATGTTACAATAAAATTTAGTGACCCCATAGAGCCGGTTTTATTCGTGAAGGTATCAAAATCTCTAATCTCAATACATAAAGTGGAACTTGAGGATACTTTAGTTATAATTATTACACATAGTTCAAATTACGAAGTTGATCGTTTGGTCAAAATTTATTCGACTTGAATTGGTCCCATCAATGCGCATTTACGTCGTTCACCGTCGTACCAGAGTGCACCACGCACTTTGTACTCATGCAATTGCTACGGGCCTACTTATTCTAATTTTCACGTGTACTGTACTCAGTCTGTAACAGTTTAGTTCTATGTAATACATTTGGAAATACGTACATCGATGGCAATATATCCCACAAATGTCAATAGTCATTATTTTGTGTTTGATAAGACTCACAAAACTAAGTCTCTCGTTTTATATGTAACTTGTGGGCAATAAGGCATACCAAAGAATGAGTCTGTCTGAATTTTCTGCGTCTTTTATGGTTCGGGAATTTTTTCTCCCGTGCACTCCTTCTGAGCTACTTGAAAAGTCATCTACGCGGTGATTATTGTTAAACCTTCATACCATGCAGTCTTGGGTCATTGATAAAGATGTATCCTTCATGACCATAAAGACCAACATTTTGGTCAGTAAACGTATTATTACCGTGCAATCTTCGCTAGACTTCGATGTGAAAATGAAACCACGCACAATATTTACAAAAACCTCAGGCCTATTCACAAGTGTAACCCGTATTATGTATTAATCATGCTTATCAGGTTTATAAACTTCAGCAAGTTTTGGCCCCGGCATGTGAAATTGTTTGGATCTATTTTTTTTTTTTTTTTGCTTTCATGATTCGTGTAAAAGAGAGAGGCCCAGTAATGTCCTTAACTTTGTGATCATTTGTTGAGGCCTATTCATTTTGTGACAAAGTGCATGAAGTCCTACTCACAGGTAGTTCATTAAAGCCATGGACAACTCATATAAAGGAACCGTAAGGGTCGAAGCTGATCGCTTTCATCATTGAGGAAATTATTATCAAAACTCCCCCCCCCATCATGTACGGCGGTATTTAGAATTAACAGCTAAAAACTAAAATTGTAGAAATGAAAATTACAACTGCGTATTGCCGTTTTACACAAGAAAAGTTTTAAAAACATCTGGACAGGTTTAATAACCTTTTAATTTCTTACAGATGTATTTATTGAATGTACCAAACATATCACATAAAGCCTGACTCAGTAACGGTGCCTTTCAATATGGCACACGCTAGGTAGGTGTATCAATCATTTGTATAAAGTATCAATCATTTGAAAACCTGAACAAAATAAAATCCTCTCTCAATGAGTGACAGGTACGTCGCTAGCACCGGGGGGGGGGGTAGGCCGGATAGAATTTCACAACGCTAATTTCCACAACGGGTCTGATTAAAGTTCAGCCTCGGTGTCGCATCAATTCAGCCTCAGCCTCACTTCAGAGTCTCTGTCTCATGCAAGTCATACGGGTGATCCATAGTTTGAGCTTTGCCTCCATCCTCAGGGTACCAGCTCGGTGTTTACCAGTTTCTCCAGTTGATGCAAGAGCGTTTCCAGGCGTGTATTTTTCTGCGATCATAAATCCACCGACATACAGTTCAAACGTCGTTTTAATGCCAGATTGAGTCCCAAACACAACCATACCGTAACCTTCTAAACCTGGTCGTACCTGGGTATAATAAAACTTTCCAAATGTGAACTGTACCCCCCCCAAAAAAAACCCGACAAAAATGACTTTTAACTGTTCTGAAAAAAAAGACACTGCAGATCGAAGCGAAGCTGGCCGTGGGCAAGATATGCCGCAGACACTGTCTCGCGTACACATGTCGGCAACCATCTGTCACACAGCCGGCGAACGACACATTACTGTGAAAATTTTCCCGCGCCTTTCCCCCCCCCCAAAAAAATCTGTTATCCAATCACAATCCAGAGATGATGGGGCGGCGCCGTTATGCAGCTGCCAGCCGCTGGGATGCCAAAGGTGCTGTTTAACACCGATTTTTATGGTACACAGTACATACTAGCTTTCGCCTATTGGCAATCATCATTTGGTATGTCTTTGGTATGATTACAACTGCAATAATGTTTGTAATCAGCTTGAAGGAAAATCAAGAACTAAGGTCAATAGTTGCTTGAAGGTGTGAATTTGAACATTTTAAATCAGTTTTGGGAAGTTGAATACAAAAAGCTGTTAATATTATCGGCGTGCTTTTGAACTCAACTTAAATCAATGACAACCGCTCAATATGATTCTCTCTGGGAGGACTGCGAGACCGTAACAAAGTTTAATCAAAATATCAAATCACACAAGATTCCACAGCTTACCTCTTCTAACAGCTGCCGTAACCGGCTGATGGTGGCCTGTTTATCCTGGCTAATGGTGAAGTTACTGGACGGCATGAATGTGTTGATTCGAGCTCCCTCCGTCGTTTTTAAGGAGATGAACTAAATGAACAACAAAGATATCTCAAATGCAAGCTTGAAATCAGACTATTGCTAAAGATTTCTATTCCTGACGTTTGGATAGATACGGTAACTTACGGTTTAATTCAGGACCACAAAAAAGCCAGTAACACCAAAGGTTTGGTGGTTTGGACGTAAACTAAGAAAGGCACTCGATGGATTGGATTAGATTGGTCTATCAAAACTGCGAGTGTTTCAAACATTATCTAACACATTTCAAAGGGTGCAGAATTCAAGTCAGTGCCGCAGACCTTTGGGATGAAAACGAGGCACAACACGATGGTGTTGGCAACGAAGAGGGCGCCGCAGACAAAGGCAAAGACGAAATTGATATCCCCGCGGGCTTGGCTGAAGTAGGCCACCGGCACAGTCAGTACGCAGGTCAGGCCTACCGTGTAGACCGACAGGGCGATGTGTTTGCCTGAGGATTTAGGGGATGGGGAGGAAGAGAGATTTCAGAAGATTATAAAAACCTCGAAGACACTGGTTCTCTGTGCTTTTCTTGACCCGTTTTAATGTGACTCCCCGCCGTCTTCAGTCGACTAATTTCTGCAACATTTCTTGCGGGCCAGAGGGACATTTTAAGGTTGAGTAGAGGTATCAAAATAAATTCATAGAATGTTTACAAACTTTACAAGAAAGAGACTCAGTTGATTTGTTAAAAACGTTTCAGGCCGATTCTCCATTTGCATGTCTATCAGCCTGAACAAACTCGCTCAGATATTTAAAGAGATAGTGCCTACCGATAATTTCTTCCAAATTGTTTTTCATAAGGACTCTCAACAGTTCTCATGATAGTCCTCATGAAAAATTCTTTGAAGGCACGTACTATGATCTCTTGAGTTAAAGTGTCCCTACTTATACTTTCATATTTAAATACTGGTGCTGTTTTTGGGGGATTGAGTATAGCTACACGGAAAGTGAAAACCGCGATGTGAACGGGCTCTGCTGAACCAAAAGCCTTGTGAAAGAATCAGATGTTTAAAACATTCTCACTGTCGTTGAGCTGGCTAATGCGGACGTTCCGCGTCGACCAGGCCAGGAAGATCCCAAAGATCAGGAGGGCGCCCTTGTAGGCGAAGATGGCGATGGCGAAGTACAGCTCCTTCGCCGAGGTGCAGTAGGACATAGTGGGCACGTCGTACTTCTCCGTCCGTTCGTCCCGTAACTGCGGCGACCAAACAAGGGAGAATAACAGAGGTGAACGAAGACAAAAATAGATAGGCGAAGAGCAATACGGTGCAAAGCGCCATAAACCAGAACGCATGCTCTGAGACCTATCACACAGTCCTTGGGGGCTGTTGATTTCCATTTTATTTGTGACTTACTTTAAATTTCATTTCTCCAATACCAGCTCTTGTTACACTAAATTTCAACAGATTACAAATTTACTGCTGATTGTTGCTAATGCATCGGCTAACTTTTCATTGTCATAGCACAGGCTACGCGCTTGAGTGCGTAGCCGAGGTAATGTTTGCCAGTTTCATAAATACAAATTTCCTCCCGACAAGGTTACATTTATACAGGCTATAAAATTACGAGCAAGACGGCAGTCGATTTGGAAATATTTTTTAACGAAGCACTCAATGTTTTTACTATTTATATGTACCATCCCAGCTTCCCCTCGAAGGATCTTTGGTCATCGTTTCGATTGTAGGTTTGAAATCCATTTGCCATTCCAAATTAATAAGCAACCTCTGTCAACTTCCCTCAGCCCCGTCGTATTCCGCATAGCAACAGTACATCCCCTTGGCTATTGTATGCCATATCCGGGACTACTGGGGTAGTAATCGTTATCTCTGTCACAAGATAAAAGATGTCAACGGTCACAAATTTGGGGGAAAACTCTTTTTTTACCACTGGGCTCAGTTGGATGGTCTCGACGTGAATTGGATCCACTAGTATCCACGTGACGAAGATCAGGGCATCCAATAGGACAAACAGGCCAATTGACGTCATCAGCTTGGAATCGGTGATGGTGGCTCTCTGTGTGCGTAAAATGGCGCACCGTCGAGTTACAAAGTATCAAATGGCAACGATAACAAATATAATCACAAGCAGTGCGTATTTGTTTAACCATTCCCTCTCCTATAGGAGCCCAAAGCGAAAATTAATATGGTTGAACACCGTTTTTCCACCTACCACTTTGCGGACCTTCATGGCACTCGTGTAAATGTGGTGTATCCTGTACGTTTTCATGAAAAGGGCGCCAAAGGCCAAAGACAGGCCGATACACAGCGCAGCAGACGACAGCTGTGGAGAAACAAAATGACAAACCCCTAAAGGAGAGACATGGTGCGGGCGGTGCCCGGGGAACAGTGGTTTTAATAACGTGTCTTTTGTCTTGTGAGCATTTTGGGTTCACGTACTTTACTGTTCAAATGATGGCAAATTGGCAATAATAAAAAAAAATTAGCATTAGAAATGCCAAGAGCAAAAGGCTTTTCCACATTCACGAGGATATTTTCTGCTTTTCTTGCGTCATAAGACAATGGCAAGATAATTTGTTTCAAGATCAATCTTTTGATATAATGTGAACTTACCGAAGAGATAACAAGCTATCCAAATGCGAAACTCAATAGAATAAGGAAATGAAGATGTACTTGACCTGTCTTAAAAGTGCGTTTAAGATCAAGACAGGTTCAAACAGAACCCTCTTCTGGTCACTCACAGCCCCTCGGGGACACAGACGTGCACTAGTAACCTCTTTGCCAATTCACACGTGTACAGTCGGGAGACTGTTTAAGGTATTTAAGAATATTGATTAAAGAACATAAGAAGCAGGCAAATGGTGTATAACTTTCTTTACCAGAAAAAAAGAAGAAATTGTCGACTGTGTAAGCACCGGTCGACAACAGCCATAATTTCCTGGGATAATCGTTAATTACCTATTGACATTTGGCCATCGAGCCGAATGGCAACTCAGCAATGCAGGTTTTTTCTACCTGCTGCACTGTTTGCTTTTTTTTACCTGACAATAGATCCTCCCGTTGAAGTCACCCTCCTTAACCTCGATCTTGAGCGCGAGCAGGAAGGTGGAGGCGTAGAGCAGCATGCTCCCCAGCGCTATCATGTTGTTCAGCTGCGGGCTGGAGATTTTGATAGCACTGGCAAGGACAAACACGGGAGAAGGCTATTTGTGATCAGCTCGAGAGCAAAGCCCTCTCTTTTTCCACTCTTCACCTCTAAACTAAAACTAAAAGCGTGCATGGCCACTTTGTGACCGTTGCGATCAAACTCCGGAGCCTGTCTCGATCCTGCGCTGTATTTAGCAAAGTCTCTTCGCCTCCGTGGCAAGAAAAACGATCCCGCACTTAGAGTGGATTGCGCCCTGACTGTGCACTTTTCTTGTCCTAAATTTGGCTCACCGCAAATTAAGGCCAATGGTGTTTCTCCCTGACTGACAACCATCTTTTCCCTTACAGCAACAAAGGGCGGTGTTGTTTGGTTTCCTAATCATTATGTCTAGTTCACAAAACTGAGTCAGTTACTGCCGTGATGGATGGCTCTCTTTCTTGGCTGGTTTGCCAAAAGTATGAGCAATACGGGCGTTTGACAATGGTGCGCCTCCAACTGTTTGCAACGTGTTGGCCAATCACAACACGCCAAATCTGTCGAGCCAATGCGCGTTTGGAAAGGCTCGACAGATTTCGCGCGTCGTGCTTGGCCACTGCGTTGCAAACTCTTGGAAGCGCACCATTGTGAATTGCCCGTATTTCGATGCCCAGATTTGGAGCAAGGAAATCCACTGAAACGAGTAGTGATCCTTCAAACACTAATATTTCATCTGGTGAGGCTATGACACCTCACACCGAAGCAATGGCGTAGCCACGGAGGTGAAGGGGCATGTGCCCCCCCCCACAAATTCCCGGTGCCCCCAGGTGCCCCTCCCCCTAAAAAAGGATGAATGTATATTGAACAGGGCTAACAAAAGCTTGCCCCTAAAAAATTACATCACTGAAAGCTGGTGCCCCCCATAAGATGCTGGTGCCGCCCCTGTGCCCCCCCCCACTAGTAAAATCCTAGCTACGCCACCGCTCTGAAGGTCTCCAAGAAGGGTGTATCTCGATAGGAGTGCATCCCTAATGAAAGAAGTCACCATATTCGGCTGGATCATGGACCTTGGCACTTCAAAATAGTCCAAGACTGGCATGTAGCCCTGGTGTTGCAAAATGCTGCGTTCCAGCGTTTCATCTGCGGAATAAACGCGTGTCGGTGCTGATTTTGAATCCCCGCAGCGCTCGGGCGTTACGCTCTCGTCTAATATGCCTGGCGGCCAGAGCGGCTATGTTGCACTCGGACCTGTCAGATCAAATATTTCGCCGCGGCTCGGCAATGCTCAATTGGCCCACAAAACAGTTGTCGGGTGAGAGGAGGGCATTCGGGCTGATTCGATTAGCCAAGCCGGTTTGTGGAACGACGCTGCTTACCAAGCTAACACCCACCTGCGAATTTTCTGATTTCTGAGGAAGGATGAATAACTTTCCGAATCCTTTCTCGGAACGCCGCAGAGATCATGGAAAATTTAGAGGCAGCCCACAGCTTGTTGTAAATAGAGAATATTGGCGCTTCAGTTATTTCCTGACAAAACATCCTGCTCATTAAAAACAATGCTATTGCCTTGAAAACTTGAACGGCACTCTAAATGCAACCAGAAGCCAGCGTAATTTCATCTATTCTCATTTTCTCCATCAATCCATCTAGCAAAGGGCGCTTGATATAGCAATTCGACGTCTGTTTCCATTAAGTCTGAACGAATCCAATGACCTGCACCGTCCCTCTCCTGATGAGAAAAAGTCCCATTTAATAATACAAAAAAATCTGCGCTGATTTGGTTAACCTCCGCTGGCCACTTGACGCGATTCCGGTGGTTATTTTTCTAGCCTGTCTTGGCTTAGAAATTTACCGGGGTCAAATCAGCGCGGCCTCGGGTAGGCACAGAGGCGCTTAAGGCACCTTTTTTCCTATTTCCAAGCCGTCCAGTTGCTCCTATTACAGATCACTTCCATAGTCAAAATTTTCCACGCGAGAGTAAATTCAATATTAATCGGCATTGCCGGTGAAAAAAAAAGTGCCGTCGTCCGATCCGCCTTGTCCAACACAAAGCTGAGGGAAACGGAGATAATTAATTTTTCTGCATCAAGCATCATTGCTTTGGGTGGATAATCGTTTCACGACGAAGTTAGAGGTGGTAACAGCACTGCGTGCTTTGAATATGCGAGATAGTAAAATTGCGACTCGATAAATGCCACTCTAATGAGAGGACAGTTTACGCTTAGTTAAATGTACTTTCTTGGCCTTGGGTTATAGCATGATGGATCTCATACCGATTTCACATTAGCATCGATTCCGTCTAGACCAAACACTCGAGCATAATGATTCTCTTGTGTATATTTTCTTGAAGGTTAAGCCCCATAGGGTCATCTTGATTTTTTTTTTGGTTTGCTCCAATATCGATTCTCTCGTACTCTCGAGTTTGTTTGATTAAAGCAATTACAGTCGGTTTCGAACTCTTGCGCTTCGTGTCCGGTGGAGAAGAGCCGTGGATCGTTGGAAAGTAAATTACCTTCGCTCTCCCGGGTCGGGTTTTCTTGAATTTGTCAAAGACTGAGTGCCTGTTATCGACTACGAGAATCGATACTAAAATCGTGAGAGACGGGTGTACTTTTAAAGTGCAGTCAGTGCCCTGCGGTGAGCTTTGAAAGTGAACAAACAGAATTAAGAAAAGGTTTACGAATCCTCCTCGGAACACTCTAATAAATTTATACCCACATTTCAAAATATGTAATTTTCTTTTAAAAACGGAGAGGAAGTGAAAACTATATGCAGCTTTTTTATCTATCATTAAAAGCAAATGAAATGGAGGTTTTGTTTCCATTCTTCAAAACAGAGACGAGGAACAGTTTTGTGACTCAATTTGAAGACTACGGCAATACGCAGCTTCTGGACAGGCTTTCGACGGCTAACATCGAGGTACTGGGATTGAGCTCGCCCTTGTTTGTATCAGAGCTGGTATATGAAGAAAGTACTGGCGCCATCACTTTGGAACCAAAATGGCCGTTCATTTCGTGTGCAATACGGCACGCAGCTGTTGTGTGCTAATTGTGCACGTGCACTGGTGCAAAATCCACCACACTGGTTCCAACATTTGAGACACTTATGTCGCAACTCTCTCCATAAACACCTCTGATGTGTAGCAGGCACAGAGGGCCAAATGATTTTTGTTTGCTGCTTTTTAAAATGATCGTGTAAGATAGACTTCAATCTGCCCTTCCTTCGTCTCTCTCGGCGATCGTATGAGCAAACGAGAACGAGGTTATAGAATCACGTGCACATATCACGCCAGGCCTCGGAATTGTTTGGTAAAACTATCTACACGTTCTGATAGATTCGATCAACGCCAACTGCGCGATTCTCATGCCCAACGCGGGCTTCAATACACTGTCTATATAGATCCCTTACGGTTGGTACCCGCGAGCAGTTCCTTCAACATGGCAAGGAACCATTGAAAAAACGTTGGATGCAATCGCTCTGTTGGAGACTTGTCGGGCGTCCTCGTTTAGGTGTACCCGTTGGTGCGTGAGGGACTGCAAATTGGCAATGCTTAATATCCATCAGAAGATAGGGATTGTCAGAGAGTAACTAATTAGTGTCAGTTTCGGTCGAGTGCCCTTCGTAATGAGATCATCGTTTCGTCGATCATTGGTCGGGAAGTTGCCTCCAGGGTTAAGTCTCTAATTGCATTAAGTCGGCGCACGGTTCTTTGTGGTTTGTGGATGGGAACGAGTTTACCAAAAATGACAGGAGAACCGAGCTATAGCTTCGCCTGTCTAGCATGATCGGTTAAAAAAAACAGACGGACAGATGTAAGTCTGCCTTCCATTGTTCACGGTGTATAGTCAACGAATAGAGACTTTTTCATAGAAAGTGCACCTCTGAGTACATGTACATCGTGAAATGACTGATAAACAGAAGTGGCAACACGACGCAGACATGAGGATTTTCTCTGGGATTGCAAAAAGCTTTCAAGAGAAGGCAAGGCAGCTACACGACACCAGCATTACCAGGCCACACTGCCCGGCTCATTAAACACCCAATCCAACTACCCACCGCTACTTACACGTAGGGCTTGCACACCCAATACGCCATGCTATAAGCAGGTTGGTATCATAGGACCGTAGCATGGACTACGTTCGACACACTTGTAAGCATGGCATCAAAAACGCTCCACTTGAGAGCCACTGCTACGGTGCACAACAGCTGAAACCGATCCGGGTTTATACGTGTGTGAACGTTGTCCATGCTACAATCCTATGATACCAACCTGCTTATAGCATGGCGTATTTGGTGTGCAAATCCTACTTATAAGTAGCTGTGGGTAATCGGATTGTGCATTTTAAACCGAACGCTCTTTGCTAAACACGTAAAACGCCAGACACCAAACTTCCCTCTTTTAAGAGCCCTATTAGCTTAACCAAGAGAGGGCGCAATTTTCCAGGCAACTGTGGGCTCCTATGGTGGGAACTGCACTTCTCTGGCTCATAAGCGAGTGTGAAATGCACGCGTTACGGTCGCGTCACAACTACAAAAATGAGCACTTCCCACCAACATGACTCTTTTCAACCGATGAGGGGGTGCTTCTGCTCAGGGCGAATACAGAAACCTACCTGCGGTTTTTAAAGCGTGTGTTGATGCCCAGAAACACGATAGAGAGCGCCATGCCCAGACCGGACAAGACGAACACCACTATCTTGATGCTCTCCTGGATTCTGAGCTGTGTCTTGCTGTACGTCGGCCCGTCGACCGGCTTGAAACCGCCTACATCAGAAAACACACAAGGAGATAACAGACATGGGAAGTGGTCGACCGACTGATACAAGACTGACGTCTTGCTTCGGAGACGATCTCATACGTGTTTCCGGTATAGAAACGCAGACTTGAGATATTTACACCTCGCGCACGCTCTACCATGTATGATTGCGCGATATTTTTTTTGGTGACACTGTTGAGGATAACAATAGCTGATCTTGACAGCATTGGGGGTATATTACTAATCTAACGTGAGACAGTTCAGACCAGTTCAACCGGTATTCAAGGATTTCAAACTCATATAATACATGCCTGCCCAGATGAATTCGGAGATTTGCGTCACTTTCTCGGTCAACCCATCGTACTTGAAAACTTGCTTGTTGCTGCCAACATCTGTCAATGGAAAACCAGCCATACACACAAAAACATGACCTACTACACAAGTCATGATAATTTATTGGTGGAAAGTAAGTCTTTATGATTTTGGTCAGGAATAGAACAAATTCAAGTTTTAAATTAGACACAATGTGATTTCTGAGTTCTGCAGCTCGGGGAAAAACGCAAAGTACACCCTATCACTAACATAAGTAATCATTTTTTTGGCTCAGTTTCTGGTTTGTTTTTGGTTTGACGTCCCACCTTGCATTTGTTGGACCACAGCGTCACTCTCTCGCGCGCCGTACTCATCAAATGCAACTCGTCCCTGGCAGACAAGAAGAGACAACGCAACTGCCATGTCAATGGGGTGAGCATGGTATTGAATACAGAGCAATGTTGAGTTCACCAGGTGTATCCACGGTAAGGCGCCTTTCCATATGTACGATTTGTGGGTGCGTTTTGTACACGATGCGTTCATGCGTTTCACTTTTATGGACACAAAAATCGACTCCATTAATGTGTGCGTTGCGTTAGGCCGTCAAAATCGCCCCGGGAGCGATTTTGACGGATACGTAACGCTCTGCCAAAGTGTTGACGCAGAGAACCTAAATGTGAAGAAACGAACCGGCTATGGGTGCTGAAAGTCTTAGAAATAAATCCTTCAAATGTTTGTTTGTACCTGTGGTCCTTTTCGTCTTGTCACCATCGCTGTCACATTCAATCTGAATGCGCAAGTTGATATATTAAAATGGCAAAACGTTTTCATACCGAGGCGATTAATCTTGACCGGTTAGTTTTTCATCCGTTTTTGAAGTGGACCTTGGGCATAATGGTGAAACAAAACAATTTCTCTGTCTGAAAATCATGGCAGCTGAGCCATCCATACTGGACCGGGAGAAGGGTTGACGCTCTTGCCAGCAGCGAGAGCTCTTCCCAAAGTGCTCCAACAATTTTGACGGATCTCGGCTCCAAATCCGGCGCACATCCACTCGAGAAATGAAAACTGTTTCGTCCCTAATGGATTCGAACACTTACAGCGCAATGCACGGTCCATAAGCCAAGGTCCCATTTGGAGGGCTTTTCAACAAGCGCCTTTGATACGAGGGTACTTGGGAGCGAGACGACTAACTTGAGACTGCCCAACGGTACAGTTTATCAGACCCAAATGAAGCTCCTTGTCTTGGGTAGCTTAGGGCACCAATGGTTGATATTGAACAAACTATTGGACGCAAATGCGATTAGACGCGAACGGCTGACGAATACGTCTGGAGATTTAACCTGACATGTTTAATGTCGTGCTGGTAATACGTAAGAGTGAATGCTGATAAAGACATCTTCAACCTGTCAACATTCTTTACACCATTAAAACAAGTATAAGCACTGACATCACATAACTATAAAGACAGAGAGTAAGAAAAAAAACCCGGCGAACACTGGAGTGGTTCTTGGTTTCTCTCCGCAAGTGCGTGAGTTTGGTTGAGCAAGATGCCGCAGTGTAATCATGCGTGATCAGTCCATATCTGCACACAAGCCTACCAGCGCTGATGCCACCAAGCGCTGCTCTGCCGGGAACCAGTGACAATATCAAAGCCACGTACGTTCATTTGAAACTTTTATAAGATGACGCAGTCAATTGCTTGAACTGCAATTCGAAAACTGTAGCATTCATTGAACAACAAGTGGTAAAATGATCGTGCTGTAAAGACAGAGTTACAGATCAGTTAATGCAATAAACATAACATATAAGAACATTTCTTATTTCATTTTTTGAGCAAGGATTATCCCAGCAATGGTAATTATATATTGCACTGAAACTGGTGACAACTGTTTGTCTGATGATGGCTTTAACAAACTACAAGATACTCCTGGGATAAAGACAAGAAAGTTTGCTTCAAGTTCACGTCGTTTGCATCTTTGTAAACATACATTTGGAGTGGTAACATGTTAGGGAAGACTCACGGGGCTGATTCTGGATTATGTGTCTTGGTGAAAAGCACCGTCTAGCAGCTACGTCGACTCCCCATTGGGTGCACGTTACTATAATGCCTTAGCTAAGATTTCGCAGAACCTATAGCAGCATAGCTGTAGGCTTGACTGTTGATTTCGAGTTGCCTTGCGCTGGAGCCACAATCAACACGCTAGACTTACAGGGTCTCTGTAATGCGATTTTTGGAATTCAAACCTCTCAAATTAAGCGCGCTTTAAACCTCATGTCTAATTTTTGTTTCACTATTTTAAAGGGAATTTTGCTGCCGTTTGGGTTTTTTGTTAATGATTTTTCCGTATTCATGAGCAAAACTGTGATGTCACTTCAGGAAGGAAACCTCGATTTTACCTTTCTACCGTAGTTAATTTTTAGTACTAATTTTTTTTTTTGTAAATAAATTCTGACATAACCATGTCTTCCGTGGATGACGTCACAGGAACAGCGCCCTCAGTTGTCCAGAAAAGCACGGAAGTATTACATGCTTTAAAAATGTGAACTTTTCAATGCATTTTATCTATAATAGGGATGTAACATAGCGTTCATGCATTGAAGAAGTGCATAAGGTTGCGGAAGAACTTTGTCTTAGAAAAATTCATTAGTGCTACATTTGAACCGGCAGAAAGATTGCCGACAGGGCAACCAGTACTTTCCATGTCCCCTGAGTTATCAAACCTCGGCACGATAGCTCCGCGCCGAGTCTTGTGTAGCGACCCATTCACAGGGTAATGAGAGCATGGCAGAGCATTGCACTATTCCAAATGCGGTTATCATCGGCTTGAGTTACACCGTCGCAAAAAAAAACCACACACAAGATGATTGGTGAGAGCTTTTTCAACAGAGGCCAACAAGACGAGAAGATTATTGCTTTACGATTACCAAGGCGGAAGGACTTATACGATATAGGACATGATTCGTATCTGCGATGCGCCAGGCCAGGAGGCTCAATTTCGATTAAAAGGATATTAACAAGTGGGCCGCGCACTGCACTGGGCTGTAAATTCACACGAAACACTGTAGTCTCCAGTTCGGAGAAGTCTCACTGCACGCGAGCGGTATGGTCCAAATCACGCGTGAGAAGCAAGTTTCACAGCCTGAGGGTAGTTTCCAAGGTCACACTGCAGAACTTCGCCACGCCAGCCGAAAAGTCATACATGGGAAACGGCCATTCAGCGAATATTGACCACAGTTACATTTTAGTCTATTGCTCACTCTTGACTGTTTACTTGTTGACTGTTTGAAGTTCTGCACCTGTCTGCTTAATCTTTTGGAACACGCTAGAGACATTTAGACGCACACCGTTAACAAGTACGTTCGAAATCACACAAAAACTTTTTTTTTAAATGGCATCTCTGCCAGTGTGAAGATTCAAAGTTTCGTCGTAATTCTAAATAAATCGGAGGCCTACTAACATGAAAAGGCCAGAAAAATCCAAGTGTACCATAGAACCAACAAATCCAAAGTAAAAACACTGTTCTGAAAGTTTTTGCATATTTCTAAAAATGTTCGTTTTTGGCGACACAACACCTCAGTGCTGCTTACCATCGACATGAAATGACAGGCGTCAGCGCTAACCAGCAGTGTAATCCTGATAATGATACCTAGACCAGCAATGGTTCCACGGAACACTAGTGCCTATAGGACCTTCCAAACAATCCGGCCCTGTTCACACAACTTCACTGTAAGGAGTGAATGCCGACCTACCGTGAGGCCGACGAAGTCCACGGACCGCGTCTTCTCCAGGAAGACCGAGGACATCGCAGTGTCCTCGTAGGTGAAGTCCTCCAGCCGGCGGGGCGGGTCCATCTCGGCCAGGGCCTGGATGGAGGCGTTGAGGGCCAAGGCGATGGTGATGATCTGGTCGTAGCCGTACGAGTCGCAGGCACCGGCCGTCAGCAGCTGGTCCTGCAGGTCGGCGTAAAAGTCCAGGTGCTTCTCCAGAGGGCGCTGAGGGTCAAAGAGCCAGGCAAAACCATTATGGAGAGAGACAGTTATGACAGGTGGTCGTTTATGACGCCATTGTGTGTCCAAAATGGCCGGCTGTTGTGCATGACGTTGCACTCATCGATCAGAAAGAAGATCAAGCCAATGACTCTGAACACCTTTCTTTAAAACAGTACGACAAAATGCAGAAAACAAACAAACAACCCAACAAACAAACAAACAAACAAACAAACAACAAATATCGTAATTGTAGGCTATAGGACGACACACACCATTGATATTACACAGAACATGAATGAATATTAATGGTGTCGAAAGTTTCATGGTCATTTTCTTTTAAAGTCGAATAATTACTGATGATGGTAAGACACGCACCACGCCGTTGAAGTTGATCTTTGACATGTCCGTCTGGATCTCGAAGCCCCGGATGCTGAGCGAGCCCACGACCACCTTCTCTACCTCCTCCGCCGTGCAGATATCCTCGCCATTCTTGACGAACTTGTCAATCTCTTGCACCCACCAGCGGACGGGGCTGTACCAGCCCAGCAGGATCCAGACGTACTTGGGTCCGTAGTAACCCTTCCGGTAGGCCTGGTGAGTGACAGATAGCAGACATTTCCGAGTGATGTAATCCCCCTTTCCAACGGCGGATCCGCGGACCTACATGACACAAACACTTCCGGCGGCCTCCTAGCGTTATTTCTCCCCCCCCCCATAAGTCATTTTCCCCTGAGAAATCCATTTCAAAAAGGGGTTTGAACGCCTGAAAAGCTAGCCTTGTGACAAGTTATCGTCGACAAGGCAGAACCAAAGCTTCAATGACACTTTCATCAGAGTGACATCTCGAGGTACACTTCCCTAATCTACATGATACAAACTCTCCTCCAGTGGACGGATGCTTCCGGGTTTTGTTTCATGCAGTAGCTATTTCAGACGCAAAACCTTATCTTTGGGTCAGGAAAAATACGGTTACCGAACTGACATTTTAAGAAGTAGTGCATAGCGCAGCAGCTTAAATATTCGTCATGGTTTGAAGAAACGTCTACTTCAACCCATGGAAACCCCTTCATTAACTAGTTTCCCGCCATGTGCCTATTGCTAACCTGTTAGAAGAATTAATCTGTATATGTCCCATTTTTGGCGGCTCTCTTTAAATGAAAGACTCAAACATACCGTGTCAAGTTGGATTCACGTACATAACTTTCAGTGGCCTATATACTGTCGCCTTCGGTGGCCATGGAAACAAACATGGAAAAATTAATGAGAACAACCCAAGACGAAATGTCCGCTTGCCTCACAAAATACGCGGGTGGCCATTTCCTGGTAGAAACTGCCGAAGATAATCCTGGCGTCGTGTTTCTGCAATGGCGAGAAAGCACAACACGTCCAGACTACAGATTAGCCATTGGGTTAACATAGTGCAAGTCATAACGTTGTACTCAGTCGGCCATAACATAACGGCTACCTGCATTGTATTAGTGTGAAGTAGGCCTACAAAAGATGAAAATAACTATCGTTTGAAGTAGCCTGTTAAGTTTTCTGTTAAAATTCCTTTGGTCTTTTGAGACGTAGATCAGGAGTCGATACCTGTAAGTGCCTAGGTGTGCAATATTTAGCCGGGGTAACTAGTATTAGAAAGTGATGAACTTGATGAACGACAGTGGTACAGTCCAATATAAAAAATTAATAACTTGTGACTGGGCCGAGTCCAAGACGTTATTAGCTATCATACGAGCGCGTGTGGAACTCGGAATAATGGTATACAGTCTTAACTCGTGCAAAGTGCCAACGGAAACAGGTCACCGCTATGTCACAATGGAAGCAAATCAAAGGAGGCAGGAGGAACGGGAATTGTCGTCATGAAAGGAGAGAAGGGAATAATTCATGCGAGTTATTAGCACCAATGAAGCAGAAAGTTCGGTGTTAAAAGGTGTTTTTTTTTTAGATTAACACCGCTGACTTCTACAGTCTCGACAAGAGCATGCCCACTTTGCCACGGTAGCTTTTGTAGTGTTGAGACACGTACGCGTAATATCTCACCTCACGCCTCCAACTGTCAGTGTGTCTAAGTTACAGCTGATTTAATTAACCATTTTGTAAACTCATCATTAACCAATTCTGACGATCAATTCGTTCGGTATGTCTGGTCCTCAAAATCAAAATGGATACGATCCTTGCAGTCCAGCATCCAAACACAATTCACTAGCGCCACCGTAAAAAAAGAGCACTGTTTAGGTGCTGAATTCCTAACTCCACGAAGTAATCAGACTCAAAGGGAGTCGGTTCCAAGATAAATGACGACTTTGAATGGAGGTCTGGGCCGTTCATCATTTAATCTACCTTGAGGTTCTGCACATTGGCGCTGGGGTCGCTGCCGGTAATGGCCTCCAGCGTTGTCGTCGTCAGCCCATGATCTTGCAGTAGTTTGTCCAACTCTTCCATCTCCTGGGTGCAATATTATTCGACACACCAAGAAATATATAGACGTGCGCAAGGCCAAGTTTTTAATGAAACGATCGTCGATGATGGCAGACGATAATGACAGGTCTTTTATCACTTCTTCATTTGATGTACAAAGACACGATATTCTTGCTGTCAGTGATGCATTGCTCGTTTACATGTATACTTGCTTGTGTTGTTTTTTCGTTGATTTAATATTCGGTTGAAACTCTTTTTTTCGCACAATCCTTAGGTATAATTTGTTTATACCGTGTAGGTTCTGCCTTCCCTTATTTGCTTGTCTATCTTACGTTAGGGTCGACATTAATTCTCTTGAATGTCGAATTTCGTTAGGGGTTAATGATGCCCACTGCTGTATCGGATATGAACTCTCCAACCAATCTCGGCAGGCTTGGTGGTTTAGAGCTAAGACATTTGGTTATAAAAAGAGGTCGAGGGTTCAGGTGCCGTGTAAGTGAGTATCTTTTAGATTCTATTCTGGCCTCGGACAGTCATATCGTGCTTTATGAAATTGCACCGGCGAGCGGTCGGGACTCTTTGAACAGCAGACAGGGGGCAGGGTGGGGGCTTACCGCACGAAACAGGTCATAATTCTCGAAGATGATGGCGGCTCTCTTCCATCCCATTTGCTTCATGAGGACGATCCTGGCGGGGTTGAAGACCCCGGAGCTGGGATAGATCTGCACCGTCAGTGGGTACTTCTCTAGATGCCGCTCGTTCGAGACGAACTGGGCGATACAGACCTATAGGATAGTATCATTTCAAAAACGATACCTTATAGTAATACTTGGCACAGTAATTTTCCCGGCTTCTTTAAATCAGTGGGATCAAAATGCATGTCGTTTTAAGAGACGATTGTCTTGGAGAGGAAAAGAAAGTGTGTGTCTATTGCTACGTTTCGCGATCAGAACGAAGTAAAATGGACAGGTGCCATGTTATTGGAAAGGTATTTGACTGGCAAAACCACCTCCGGTGGGGGATCCTGGCGGTAGTAGGGTTCTCCAGGACACGAGGTCTCGCGCCCAGAAATTTGCTAAAGAGGAAGGCAACTAGGGAAAAAAACCCACATGCGTTAGAGCTAAGGTACAGGTTACGAACTAGGCCTACATGACACCGATGACGGCTGACTCCGCATTAAATTGAATAAGGAATGCTCGCTGAATTTCAACAGACACGCCATTATTCAAAAACGTAGGGATTTCCTCCTTTTTAATTTTAATCCCATCATTTGAAGGAAACAAGACAAATATTCACACCCTTAGAATGCTCTATATGCAGCAAACCCACTTGGGACACATCAAGACCAATTTTGCTGCTGTTGAATGATGGATTGCCCGGGTTAACAGGATTACATGCCCAAGTTGAAGATCTCATTACAAGATATAATACATTTCCGACTGAACGTCCCATTACGGAAATACACCCCAATCGACGATCGCATTACAAAAATATACCCCGAGGGAGAGGTAATAAACCCGCGGGGCGCTGCACGGAACTAGGGATGTCATCACGGCGTACGTGCGTTTGGTACCGGTATGCGGTACGCTGGACAAGGTGTGATGTTCACGGAACGGGCTTCCGCAAGTATGACGCTCTTCGTGCCACTGCCTTGCTGTGAGCCAGGGAAAATTTCACTTGAACAAAGGTGTCCGAATCTGTTTCTGGCTGTTATGCGAAGGGAATGCCTTTGAGACAAAACCCGACTCAATGCATGGATGTGCAACCGCGTTGCAAATTCCCCACAGATTTTCAGATCAACACTGATCCGTTTTGCCAAACACACTGACGGAATCCGCTCTGGCACCGTAATAGTACATTGCGCAATGATTGCTACAAAAAATCGCCCTCATTATAAAAAAATCGCCCAGCTGCACGCAGGCACGAATGCGCGTACATGAAACACGCAAATGCCATCGTAACCGTATCTCACTTCCCGCCTCCAACTGTCAGTGTACAGCTAATGAACAATTATGTAAACTTCGACAGTTTAACCAATTCTGACGATCAATACGGGCGATTCACAATAGTGCGTCTCCAAGAGTTTCCAACGCGTTGGAAGGCGCGAAATTTGTCGACTCTTTCCAAATGCTCATTGGGTCGACAAATTTCGCGCATTGTGATTGGCCTACGTGTTACAAACTCTTGGAGGCGCACTATTGTGAAAAACCTGTATTCGTTTGGCTTATCTTATCCTCAAAATCAAAATGGATACGATCCTTGAGGTATAGTATCCAAACACAATTCACAAGTGTTACCGTAAAAAAGGACTGTTTATACGCTGAATTCCTATAACATCTACGAATTAACCAGACTAAAAGGGAGTTAGTTCCAAGATAAAAACACACAAATGCCATCGTAACTACTTTGCGGTAAATGGTCGACCTAAGAGGGCGCGTCTTAAAAGTTGTGACTGCGGATGAGTGTAACACGTGTGTCTATGGGACCCGCGCATACTGTTACCACCTAGCGGCTGCGGCTACTTCTCATAGAATGATGTATCATTCCTTGCTGCTGTCACTTGGTAATCGGAGACGACCATCTGGTCAAACACAGTGCATATGCTATAAATTCTAAACCTCCCGTTTTTTCTGACCTATGTGGATCATTCTCTTATTTTTCTGACACTTAGCGTTGCGGGGTTTTTTTTTAATTGTGGTGTTTTTCCCTCCGTCGGGGATCCCGAGGCACGCACTCTGCAGCGGGACACGCGCTTTCACGTAACCTGCAGTATATAACACCAATGTTCGATAATAGCCAGAACGACCAAGTGCATTAGTGGAAGCTTAGTGAGATGACCCGTGTTTGCTCGGGATGGTCAAGCTTCGGCACCGCCACTAATGGACCAAAGCCCTCGCGCAAGCGTCCCGTTGTTATTAATTTCGTCGGCCACTCCAGATCGAAATCTATCCCGGCACCCTGTGTTGCATTCAAATTTAATGGGGCAACGAGAAATCGTCTACGGCCCCGGGGTGTGCGGAAAAACACCGTTATGAACTTCGTCAGAGTGAACCGGGAACAAAGTGCAACGCGAGAGCACGACAGGCAATAAGTGACCTGCCCTTCGGGCCAATCATCCCTTTTTAAGTTCGACGGAAAACACGTTTATAGGCACTGGACAGAAGTTCCTTTTTTTTTGTGGACACGGGAGTTTCATCACGTGGACAAACGTAGTCATCACCATTAAAGTCACTCCGTTTTAAATCGCATCATTTCACAGTTCTATAGCCCGACGACACGGTGTCCACGACAGTGTGAAAACTGACAGTGTTATAACAAGACTAGTATGGCTGTGCAAAGGGGGATCCGGGACGGAGATACGGACCTGAGTAAGTGTCACGCTGTGCCTCTCATTCATTCCACTTTCTTCTTTTAAACTGAGTAAAATGAGGATGAATGTTGACTACGGTGCATCTGATTTACCCAATCCTCATTGCACATCGCTGAACGCTTAAAATGAGCTATAAATTCCATTCCCCGTTCGCTAAGTGTGCCTCGTAAAGCCCAGGGGAGGTAAAAGTGTGGTCCAAGAAATGGCTTGACGAGCCTTAAATGAGGCAGTAAAAAAGGTATAACGTCGCTGGCCTCAATGAAGGCGGGCCCTTCCGATTTAGTATAAAAAGGTGATCTGTTTCGGAACCTTTTTTGTGTGTTCGCCAATAAACCTCGGCCGAACGAACATCTCGATCGCAGGTCACGCACGCTGATTAGGGCTGTTCGTCATCGGTTAATACCCCCATCTCTTCGCTTGAATTACGAATGAGGTTTTTTGGGGGGGAGGGCCTTTGGAAAGTTGAAAACAGTCAATTATACCATCTTGGCGAGCATCTGTCAATTAACCCTAAGTGGCGTGTAAACGTCAAAAGTTTGGCTTTACAATCAGTGCTGGCAACGAAAATGAGACACATTAATTAAGCACCTTAGGGAGCCTAATAAACCCCATCATAAACTATAATACCACAAGGCGAGGCATTCACGAAAGAAAACATTTGATTTATTTACCTTTGAAACCAAAGGCACTCCTCAGTAGCCGCTGAATGGAACGAAATTAAGTTTACTCGCATGGTCACAAACCTCATTTTAATATGAGGCGTCACAGGGCTAAGGCAGACGTGTATAATTAACGGCACCTCTTACGGGGAAGAGATGGAATCCATAAACGGCTCACCTGCACCAAGTTGTAGCGCCTGATCACCTCGTTGAGGACCTCCCCCACCCGGGAGTACACGGGGCCCCAGGTCATCAGGAACTGAGGCTGGTTGTAAATGAAGTCGTAGATGACCTTTAAGGAAGGGGCCGCGGAGTTCTCGCCCTCCACCTGCAGGTTCGACAGACAACAACCATTTTAACCGGAGGTAAAAGAGTTTTGATCGTTCTGCTTGAAAACTGAACTCTGTCTGTGAGTGGTGGATAGTTCACGGAGAAGTCTGTTTGCTTGTTTGTTGTTTGGAGAAGACACTTTCACTTATCCTTTGGCAAGGATTATAGATCGGTTAATGTATTTGCCGCATCAAATATTTAAAATGTAATGAAAGCGCCTATTAGAATGAGAAACGATGAAGATGATTCATATGCCTGGTGTAAGATTTATTAGTCTTCAAAAGTTAAAGACTAAAAAGCGGGCCTTTACAATCATTGCACCCAAAGGTGTGTGCAACATCCTTGGCACACCTCCAACTTTAGATACGACGTGACCGCGGAGCTCTGTATCTGATGGTTCCCATAAACGGATTGGCACTCATTGCAACGGCACTGAAAATAAAATAAGAAAACAAATTCTGCCAGGAAGGATGAGTTCCGTTTCACCGTCGTGACGGCGGTTTTTATTTCAGTCGATGAGCATTGGCCTTATGCCTCGTAATGCACCTAGTGATTTTTTTTGAAGCTGAGCATATTCGCTTCAGACAAAAGGCTGTGCGCTGTTGTGTCGGTGACGCACTTTGACAAGGCGGCTTATGAAGAAAATGATGCGTAATGTGTGCTTAGACACAATCCACTAATGGGCTGGCTTTTCACGATTTGTCTGGCTTTGACGACACGAAGTTAGCCGTTTCATGGCTAAATAGCGAGCATTTGGCCCTACATTTAAAGACGGTGTTGATAAAGACATGTTTAAAATAAACCATGATATATTGAATAGGTAGCTCATCCGTACATCACACGGCAATATTTATCACTACTTCGAAGCGCGCAAAACCATACAACACTTAATTACACCTTTACGGCATTAATCTAATCTTTCAAAATGTAATCCTGCCTTTGTTCGCACTTGTTCCTCCTAACCTACGGGTAGCCTTCTTTCTTTATTCTCTCAAACCTTGGCAATCCATCAGTCGAGCGCATTTCACTATGTTTAATGCAAAGCGATCCAATTCAAGGTTTCTGTTTGGAAATTTCCAGTCGACTAGAATGAATGCTTGGCGTCTCTGTCCTTAAGACTTTCGAAACATTGTCGTAATTTTTTTCCCTCAACGTTTTTCATCACTGTCCAGTTACTGACAACTTATTGGGTCGAACGCCAGTCGCTTCGCGTGGGCAGTCGGACATCCATCTCGAGTCCAATTGTCGTGGAGTGGGTACCGGTCAAGGATAACGACCTGTCCCTTGATTGGCCGGCCGACGCAGGTGACACGGAGCGGCCTCCAATTCATGCACGGTGCTCCAGATGGGGCCCTGCGCCACTACGTCCCTTCTCCGCTAATTCTTTTCCCGAGTGAGGATTTTGTTTACACAGATTGCTTAAGATTTTAAAAGGAGGCAAGGCCGGTTGGGTAATAGTATTCATAACTTTTTGAAGACTCGAACTAGCGAAGTAAACAGAAAAGGAATTACGGAGCTTACACCAGCACAGAAGTAACAAAACCTCGAACTACATCCGTATAAAAAAGTGAAGTTGAAAAAAAAAGCCATTTGTACATATGGGAAATCTGACACAATAAACTTCGCACAAATTGAATATCCTCCGAGTTTGCGATGAGTGTCGATACCGATCGATACTCGATCGATATCCTCCCGTAACTCGATGTGCCAACCGCCCGAGGAAGTCAGCAGTGCACAAAATACACACCCTCGTCTTCCATTTGTATATCATAGTTTCGAAGTAAGATGGCATGAGGGGATGGATTCGAAGTAATCAAATACGAATAGATGGCCCGTCGATACCACCAGAAGGGTGGAAATTACACCGTCTCAGCAATTATTGCTGCGCTTGCCTCTTGATTACGAATGCTTTACTGTTTCCTGGATGTTTGCCCCGATTTCCCTTCGACTTGCTGCTGACACAGTTTATCATTTTCTAGGAATAATTTATATTTTCTTCTACTGCGAGGAGGGCCTACATGCTATCTACAATAGGCCTACACCACAACCGGGAAAATAAATAGAACGCGCCAGTTCGTGCCTGAGAGCTTAGGGTTAGTAGTGGTGTGGTGAGGGATGCATTCGTTTGGCCCGAGGGGAAACATGCACATGATTGAATAATGAAACATTTCTGCTCAAAGGCTTAGATGTATAATTCAAAAACTCAAATTTAGGGATTTAAGGTTTCATAAATAAATCAAAAACTGACAAAATTTATACATCATTCGAAATGACGAATGCACGGATATACCGCAGTCGCAACCCTAGGAGTACGATATTTTGACAAGCAGCTCAAAATCAGACGTCAATTACTGTTTTCTGCAGTGTTCTTAAACAGATTATAAATAAGGAGGTTTTCTTAATTGATAGCTTCATTTGTGTTCGGACGATTTTTATAATTCCCGCTTTTAAGAGTGATTTATTTCTTGTTGGTACCCAGCCAAACCAAAGAATGTATCAACAGCTTGACTGATACATTACACATACAATAGGATGCTAAATTTAAATCTCAGCAGCACCATGTTTTTCTCAGCATCTTAACTACAGAATTTTTTTCAGAGCACTTTACGATCACAAATTCCACTTAGTATACTCCCTTTTTGAAAAGAGAAGAGAAAAAAGTTCTCTGTTTGCCTCCACGTCCGATTTCCCCTGCTGTGAATGACACATGCAGTGTTTGATTTACTTGGCAATGTTTAAACCAATATCGTGGGAGCAAATAACCGAAAGCTTACATCAGATACCCGAGGGCCAGGAAAAGGCACAGGGGAAATCGTGCGGAATACTTCCCCATCCAAGTTTGATATTGACACGGATAAGGGTGAATCGATAATTCCCCGAAGCCGGGAACGCCATTCGCGAGAAACCATACCCGTGTACATTTACCTGAAACAACAGTGAATCCAAGGCGACTTAAACCTGTCATCGGTAATTACGTGCTATGTTCCCCACGGCCCCTTGGCGAGTCTTGGTAAAATTGGCATATCTTGCCCGATCCACGGTCATGCGGTGGCAGGCTTGTGACCGTTGAGCGTCCGGGGGGAATCACAAGCGTGACAAACTGCCCAGACGGTGCCAGAGGGCCTCTGGGTTCCACACCGGTCCATCCTGGGCAAAGTGCGTGCATGAGAACATCCTTACGCGAGATACAGGTTTATGTGGGACGGATAGGTAGTGAATAGGACAGTGCACGCGAAAGTACTTGGAATAGACTGATTGCGCCCACTCAGTCACCTGACCTACCAGTGTTGGAGGTCTCGAGGCCGGCCTCGAGGCCAGTTTTGCAAAGCCTCGACCTTGGAGACCCCGGACTCGGCCTTGGCCTCGAAGGTTGTGGACTCGACTCTAACGCTGTACGTACAGTGGATATCAAATATCATTACACATGGCGTCCTCCAATAGCAAAAGTGTCAAAGATGTCATTTGCCGAAAATAGGCCGACGGTCGGTAGAATACTTAGACACCATGTTTGTTGATGTTTGATACCCACTAGGGCCTAATAGGTCGTGTGACTATTAGTGGGTGCAGTAGGTTCGTTATACGGGCGCGAAGTTTTCAGTTTTGCACTTGACATGCGCGACTGATTGCAATTAGTGCAGGAGTATAAGAGTTGCATGAGAACATCCACATTTTAAATACATGAACGTGAATAACATTAGTACTAAGGGCGGTAATGGGAGACTTTGAGACACTGGTGGCAGCAGACATACCGGTCCCTTTTCGAGTTATTGCGCGTGCTCAGAACTATGCACGCATGCTCTGAACTGGTAAAAAGGACCAGTATGTTTGTAACAACTAGGGCCGTTTTCCAATACTCAACTTCGTCTCCGTCTCAGGCTTCAACTGTTTTTTAATAGCTGACTTTGAAGCTGTAAGCACAGTAATTAGTCTAATAGTGCCACAAAACATCGAATAAGATGCAAGAGAGCAAAAAACCTACAGTAATCCAATTTGATTCAAACGCTTCAGGCCCACAATCGGGCATTGGTTTCGGGGACGAATCCTGAGACGGAGACGAAGTTGAGTACTGGAAAACGGCCCAAGCGTCTCAAAGTCTCCTATTTAAAGGCTGTTAACCTGCACTGGAGGCCGTTCGATCTAACATAGTACTGTATTATTGCACTTCATGCCTAGGCAAATACCCACCCAAATGGTGACAAGGAAAGACACATCACAGACACTTTGAAACACCGTATCCGCACTGGACCCAACGCCCTGTAGGCCTACTGAAGGCCAAAGGGTTTGTGCGCATTCGGGTTGGCGAGTATTGAGATCACCATACGTGCACCAAACGCTGCGTGACCCGTACCTTGAAATTGCTCGTGTCCCACCACAAAGCAATGTACACCCCTGCACGCAGAGACCGTGCTTTGGTATCCGCCCTGAGCAGAGGCACCCCTTTATCGGTTGAAATGAGCCATGTGGGTGGGGACTATCCATTTTGTTGGTATTGACGCAACCGTATAGGCCTAAACTCGTGCATTTCATGGTCTTTCGTAAACCCGGAAAGTGCAGTTTCCACCAAGAGAGCCTCCTTAATACGGACGATTCACAATAGTGCGCCCCCAAGAGTCTGTAACGCGTCAGCCAATCACAACGCGCGAAAGTTGTCGACCCTTTAAAACGCGCATTGGACCGACAGATTTCGCGCATCGTGATTGGCCAGCACGTTGCAACTCTTGGGGGCGAACTATTGTGAATCGCCCGTATTGCACCCTCTCTCAGTCCAGCAATGGGTTCCTAACAACAAGTAAATCTTTCAACTTTGGGTAGTTGCCTGGTATCTCCTTCAAATTTCGTGAACGCGTCTTTAAACGACTCAAACGCGCAGCGCCATACACGTAACAGACGCCACGGATTTAATTCAATTTCAATTCAAGAAAACGTTTATTCCATACTCTTGTTTAAAAAAAATACGTTGATAATTAAAGGAAAAAGGTACATAGAATTTTATAGAAA